CTCTCTCTCTCTCTCTCTCTCTCTCTCTCTCTCTCTCTCTCTCTCTCTGAGCCCAGGAGCTGGTCGAGCAGCAAGCGTCCCTCGTGCGGCGCAGGGCGGAATTGCGCCAGAAAAAGGATGGAGACTATCGGGAGAAACACGCGGCCCTTCAGGAGCGCATGAAAGAACTGGATCACGTGCGTGTAGGTGTTCTCGGTGGGTGTCAACCCGCACACGTGCCCGCTTTCACCTGATTAGGCGTCAAGGCTCTTTATGGAATAGCCACTAGTGCCTTTTCTGATATCGCCCCAAGAAGAGCAGTCCGCAGATCAGCGCAAATGTAGGCACAAGAACCCCGTGTTCATGGCAGCGGTACCTTTTGTATATCTAGCCCATGCATAAAGTGTGCAAAACATGTGTATATGCGTTTGAACATATAAATGCTGCGTTCCTGCGGCATTTTTGGAGCATGTTACATCCAGGACGTCACATCTAGACGGCTCGAGCCGGAAGGGTTCGGTTGCGTAATGTTTGGGTACAGTACTACAGTAGGCCCGTGTCGATCAGTATAACACATCCATTTTGTCCTGCCTCCTTCGCCCTTTCGGATGACGCCAAGCAATGTATGTAGATAACGCAGACAATTCCGAAAATTTGCACGTGAGACTTGAGTGTGGTGTACCTCATCCCTCTCCGGGTCGTTGCAGCTTGTTGCGTGTGTGACAGTCGGCCCCGGGCGCGTGTGGTTCTTGAAATTGCCCCTGACCCTCAGCGTGACGGTTCGCCGACGATTCGCGAGGTTTGCCCGTGTGTCTATGTAGTAGAATCTGTAAGAATTACGTTGTTGGTTTGTTGATCTTCGGATTAGAGCTTCTGGCGAATCGCCCGGGGGTGTTCTTTTTGTGAATAGGCCACACCTGTGCGGTGTAAAATTCTGAAGTCCCTGTACACACTTGGTCCGCGATACCGCATACATGAAGCCCTCGCGGTCTTTCTGGTCGACGATTGGCTGGCTTCGGAAACGTGCTCGTTGCAGTCCGCCCTGGAGCACCGCAAGGCGAGGCATGCAGCTTTGCGTCGCATGGCGGAGCTGCGAGGCAGCGAGGAAGCGTTCAAACTCAAGCGACTCGAGTACGCGAGGGAAACTTGGGAAATAGAGCGCGGCCTACAGGTACAGATTCTTTTTTTTGCCGGGAAACGGGTCGATTCAAGTGAGTCCTGACAGTTCCATGGACGGACGTGGGGTCGTCATCAATCGTCACGACACCCCAACACCCCTGGACACCCCTTGAACATGTGATGACCAATGTCTTGGACAATGTTTCTGTTGGTGTGGGTGCATGTTTGGGTGGGTAATACTAGTGACTTGGTTGCTCGATGCAACACACACAGATCGACAACCTCGCGATACCGCCGCCCGGCCAAATTGGCGAAAATCAATACTTGTAGTACACCGTTGAAGGCTGATGCATATCGTGCGAAGTGTAGTATGCTCAAAGGGGAACTAGTTTCGAAGAGTGAAAGGAGCTACCGTTTAGGAGAGTAGGCAATTCGCGGCGTTGCCAGCGAAGAGATGAAGCCTTATTGTTCGTCGACGAACTGCTATGTAGGAACAAGGATTTCTTTTGTGTCTGTTCCGCGTTCATTCTACTTGGCGTCGACCGGACAGCATCATCGGCTACACATTGCGTATTCGGATCCCGGCAACAATGAGCCGGACCCGCGACTTTTTTGCGAGACCGAAGGAGGGACAGGCGTGGTGGTGTAAGCGGTAGTTCAGCCGAGATTTTGGTGCGGTTTCCAACGATCGAACGTTACCCTAATCGTCGTTTGATGGGAGCTAGTAGTGGAGTGGGTGCACAGAGCGACCACCACCGCGCCACGAACGTACTCTCGGTTTCCCATGCTTTCGATTTCAGTCGGTGTGAAGACGCAGGTATCAACATCCTTGGGGCGTCGTTCCTTGCAATCGTTCTTGGCCAGTGCTATGCAAACGTAGAGAGTGCTGGACGGATATGGCCATCGAGGATTCCAACGCCAGCCCTTCTTTTGGTCGTCCGCTCATCTGCCGTTGTTTCGTTCGTGCCGAACAGCTGGAGAAGATGGCAAGACAGATGATGGAGATGCAGCCAGTCATGGAGCAGCGCCATAAGCTAGAGGACGAGCAGGTGAAACACACAGCAGTCTCGCCACCTTCTGTCTGTAAAACCCACGTCTGGAAATACCAAAAGTCAAGGCAACAAGAGACCACTGAACTGAGTGTGCAGGGCGTGCGTTGCGATGTGTTTTCTACCGACTCGGACAGCACCATGCTCGTACGAGGCGATATTCTGTCGATGCCGAATACGTCAAGCAGCGAGCATGGCCGACGCGCCGCAGACGTTTCGGTCCACCACCAATAATCGACGGAAATTTTCTGCTTCTCGCCTACGATCCGGCGCGACACGCCCAAAACACTCGGTTGTTTTTCAGCTTTACCGACGTCCAACACCGCCGCCACTAACAAGCTGCGAACACGGCTTCTCTCTATCGGTGCCGTTTGATCCGTGCTGTCGCTAACGCTGCCATGTTGCTCTCTTGGCCGCCGCCCTTGCCGCTGGCGTGCTATGGGCCCCTCGCCCAACGTTGGTATCCAGTAGAGGCTACGACTGAGACGCTTAGCCGCTATCGAGGACGAGAAGGTCCGGCGGCGAAGAGTGAAGGAGCGCCAGCTCCAAGACTCCCTCGATCGCGCCAAGCACTTGCAGGACCATGCCGGCGAGGGTCGTTCAGGTGGTCGAAGTGTCTCCACGCATCTCCCGTGTGCGGCTTACCCATGCTGCCATGCGCGTCCGTGATTGGTCGAACCCCCAACCCAACGTACTCGAGCCGGCGGCAACCACCAAATCGCTGCATTCGTAGTGGGCGAGTTGGAGCTAGCGAGAATTTCACCACACCGTGGGCCCCCACAAGCCCCACACCTTCTCTTGTCCTACCAGTGAACGCCGTACTGTTGCCCTCGTCTCACACGTCTGTCTACAGATCCGGTCGCCAGCGCCCTCGAGGCCGATGAGAGTCTCGAGCACGCTGAAGAGGCACCTTCCATCGGCCGTGATGGCGGTGCCGACGACTCCAGTCTGGCCAAGATTGCCGCCGAGATCGACATCGTTCGCCGCAGGTAGTCGACACACCCGCCCGATCCAGACCCACCGCGCAATGCCTCCGACCGATTTCCAACCACATGGTACACCCGTTGTTGTTAGTATCGCCGAAAGGCAAAGATTCGTGCCCTACCACCTCCGCCCCTACCCCCAAAACGAGCGGGTGTGCCGAGGTGTTTGTGTGATCGGTGAATGAAAACCCCGACATGAAGGTCTCCGCCGCGAGTGTATAGTACGCGTGCATGGAAGTGCTGCAGTCTAGAGTAGAGCATACCACAGTATCAGGTACTTGTATTTGCTTGGTTTACTCGATCTCAGACGTTCACGGTGGAAGGGAGGTTGGCCAGGTTGACGGAAAATTGCCGGACGAAGAAAACTCCCTGCTTTGTTTGGATTGAGGGAGAGGGGTGCCAACAATCCTGGTAATGATACTGTTATCGTTAATGTTTCACTTGGTTTCCGGATCTTATAGATTGTTTCTGTTGTTCTTTCAAACCTCTTCCGTTCTACTTTGCCAGTTGTCATCCGATTTGGTCATTTTCAGGAACACTCTTGTTTTCGATAGAAGATGAAATCTGTCTAGATCGTCATTGTTTTGCTTTTTTCTGTTTTATTTGAGTTAGCCAGTCCCCGGTCATGGAATTTCCTGTTATCACCAAACGCTGCCCACAAATTCTGAGGTGTCGAATCAAGAGCATAAGAGCGTACGTTGCGTTCATCCCATCTGTTTTGTGCTCGTTGATGCCGGTACGGGGGTTCTGGTAGATGGCGGCGACAGAGGTATCCCCCTCGACCTCACCACACCGATGCTGCGCCGGGCATATACTTGTCTATTCGTGCAAGATGAACCGCTTTCCCTCCCCGGCAATGATAGCGCCGGTGTAAGAACGCCGGCAGACGAAAGTGCTCCCAATCTCTTGAAACGCCAACGTTCTCACCGTTTCTCACACCTGCTTCGTGCACTAGATACTATTTTGTGGTGACTCTGTGCAGAACTTTAAATGGAAGCTACTGATCCGAGCCGCTAGAACTTTCGATTTGCGTGCAAGGGTCTCAACAATCACGATCCGCTTTTTGTGTTTGTCAATTTTCCCGCCCCGGGTTTCCCTCCGTTTCCGATTGCCGTGACAGGGAGGCCCACGCGAGTGTTCGGGCGCACGAGGCGCTGCGTCGTAAGCTGAACGAGCAGAGATTTTCTCTCGCCAAGGCGACAGATAGCGTCGACCTCAAGAGGCAGCAGGCGAGTTAGAGTGCCTCTTCTATCGAAATTTCGCTGCAGGAAATAGGTCTTGTGTGTCATGTTGCTGTTTGATTAGGGGCTTGCATCAATCCGGTGGAGGCTTGAGTGCGCACGGGGTTGCTCGAGTGTTTTCGATGATATCTTATGAGATTTGTTCAGTTCTGTGTCAGGATTTGCCCGTCTTCTTTGCCTCGACGCCAGCACCGGACGGGCTGCAGTGTGATGTCTCTGCACAAACGCGAATCGACTAGGTTGCCCTATCCGAAAATGAGATGCAGGAGATCACGAGAGCACTCCCTTTCGAAACCGAGGGTTACAATATTAGCTCATAGCTCTTGCGTGATCCCCTCAGTCACACCCTCTGTCCAATAGGGATTGCAAGTGTGGGGTTTGTGACCAATCCCCTCGTACAGTTCTTGCGACAGTTTCTTACGCTCTGCAACCCCATCGCTATTTTCAAGAAGGAATGCGCCAAGCAAGCGGGCGGACTCAAGGCCCTAGCGCGTGAGGAGCTAGGTCCGGCAGCCTTCCAGATTCTAGCAACTCCCGCCCCGCCGGAGGTGACTTCGACGTGGATGTCGACGGCAGTGGCGTCGAAAACCGTAAGGGCGCCAAAATCCAAACCGTCAAGAACGAAGGCATCGAAAGGGAAACGCTCCGGTTCGGACGAACCAAGCCGTAGTCACGGTGACGACAACAACAACCAGGACAAGAGAAGTGATAGGAATGACGGCAGCAAAACTCCAAGGAGTTCCGGCTCTCCCGCTGGGAGTCAAGAAGAAGCATCAGCGGGAGGCGGCGAGGGCGACACCGACGACGAACAGCGAGAGGCTAGAGAAGATGCCGGCCGCTCGGCCGCGATCAGGGCATTCCTGCGGGCTGCGTCGGCGGGGGGACGGGGCGCGGATCATCCGGCCATGGCAAGGAGCGGCGGTGGCGCGGGCGCCCGCGGTGAGAGGAAGAGGGGACAAGGGGCAGCACCGCTATCGACGAGCGGGAAAGCCGGTGTTTCTGCCGCTTCCGTCGGCAAGAGCAGGGCGTCGGGGAAGGGATTTCCCGGTAGCCGTCGGAGACACCACGATGACGATGCCCACGAACGGCTGTCGGTACGACAACGAAGGGGGTTGACTTCGTCATCCACGGAGAGGGGAAAAGAGCACGGCGCCGGGAGGGGGTGGGCGGGAGAGGATGAAGGCAGCGGCAAGGGGAGTGAAGAGCAAGGTGATGGGCAGGATGATAGCGAGGAAGAGAGTGGGGGGGATGGGGAGGAGGAGGAGGAGGACCAAAGCGTGGCACTAGACATGGAAGGACTTGTGGCTGACTTGCGTGCCCGGGAGGGAGAGGCGGTGTCGCGGATAGAGGCGCTCCGATCGCAGGTGGGCAGTGGAATCAATCGCTCAAGCCCATCGCGTTGCGAGCGTTCAAACCCGTCGCGCAGACAGCTGTTGTTATCTCGAGCCAGTCGCAAACATGGTATAGATGTCTGATATGAAGCCGTCTGGAGTGGGTTGCCTTGGTGAACGTTTTGTGGCTACTGCCGCTGGATTCTACGGTGCCCCATGCGCGGACAAGGCTCTCCGCGATGTCTATGCTCGAAGAGCAGTATCTGCGTACGGCAACGTTCCCCGTTTATCGACGTATTTCGCGGTTTTTTGGGGTGGGTTTGCGGTAGACGGCACGGCGAAAGTTGTGGTGATGGTGAAGATGATGGTCTAGAACGAACAACCGCGCACCACGCGAAACTCACTGATGCCGAAAGAGGCGAGTGATACCAGGCTGGCACCAGGCGTTGTGCGCCGTGCACATGGGTACCAGCCGGCGAAGACAACACGAACCGCAGCTGCGACAGCGCACTGACGGAAATACGCTTTTGACATGATGCGGCACGATCACGACTTTCCGGTGAACGCAGGCAAAAGCCTTGGCCGAAGAGGAACAGTGGTTAGCGACAGGCTCTCTGGGCAAGGGGCACGCTTGGGAGGCAGTCTCACGGCTAGGCGTCCACAACGAGAGTTATCTTTTGGGCGAGGGGACCAACCGGGGGACCCATGTTCACGGGTACGGAGGTGTCAAAGGGGACGGGGTGGGAGTGAGTAGAAAAAGAGAGGATAGGGAACTGAGCAGGCACACAGCCGGGGCTAGGTCTGGGAGAGACAGGAACAGCTTGACGAATTCCGTTCTCTCGAGGTGATTCCGTCTCTTGAGGCGCTCGGTCTCTCCGTCCCTGCTAGCTGGCCAACATCGCCGTGGTGGGCACCTTGGTTTTGCCACAAAAATTAGGTGTTCGATATTTCCCCCCTTGCGAAGACTTCCCGTTGTGGACTAAGTGCGAGGAAAGTGTCGTGCACGCGACCTACCTCCCCCTGCCCATAAAGACAGCTCTAATGTAGGACACTATTTTTTTCCCGACCCTAAGAAGACTCGTCAGCGCGAGGCAGAATGGAATACTGCCGCGTCAACAATGTTCTGTGATGCACCAATAGTTGTTGCCTCCGCATGATTTGCAGGCTAGGCCTCGAAGCTGACCGGCGCAACCTGGAGGTGGTCAACAGAGCCATGGAAGAAGAGGCCCGCCTAGCTAGGAAGGAGACCGAACTCCTGTCGGCAGCTTCGACAATTCTGGTACGCTACGTTCAGGGATATACCCCATGAGCTCATTGCACATGCTCTGGCAGTTTGAGCTGCCAACTCTCCACCCTCCCCGTCATCACCTGTCTCCATGCGACCCTGGCAATACACCAGACTGGTGGAATTTCAATCAGGACAACCGGGTGTTCGCAGATCATTAGTGTTTGTTTCAACATGTTCTCCTCGATTTGAGACAATGGGTGCGTGACGAACACGTTCAACTATTGTTAGTTAAGATTGGGGTACACGCTTCCCGCTAGAACAACCTTTTGCTTCCCCCTTGCAAACGGCAATCGGTACGCTTCAAACCCGTTTTTGAGTGCAGTGCTGTGCCACGGGGTGGTATGTTCATCATTTCTCTCTGTCCCTTAAAAACGTACACGATGCACAGGAGGGAAAGCCTCTCCTCGGTAACTCTCTTCCGCTTGCATGCAAAAACGATACCACTACAAATTGAGAACAGTGGCTCTTTCGAGGAAAACATTTGCGGAAAGGTTACGTCTGGTCTCTTTCGAAACACTTGAGAACATGCACATCAGTCCATCTCCCGACGTGCTGTGTTTTCCGGCTAAACGACGAGGAGCACGTCCGAGCGTTGTGAGGAGCCACCAAACGAGAAGAAACTCCGTCATGCTCCGACTCTCATGTGTCACCAGGTTTGCTCTTTTTTCCCACGACATGAGTAAGTCGGCGTCTCCCTGCAAACAACACAAAAACACGCGTGCCTCAACTTGCTGCTCTGGTCTTGATGTACGAACAACAACGACACATTTCCATCAGGGGGAGCACGTCAATGAGGAGATCGAAGCTGTACACGCTTCTCTAACAACCGCGTCGGACGTAGCCCTGGGTTTGGTCGGTGCCGCGGTGGCAGCATCATCATCCGCGGCGGCGAAAGCAGCAAGGTCCCGCTGGGAAGGGGGGGGTTCTTCAACTTCGGTTGTTCAAGGTTGTTGATTGAGTGTTGTTGTTGTTGTTGTTGTTGGTGGTGGTGTTTGAACAGCGGTTGCTGGTTGTTATTGCCATCGGAACAGTTGTGGCCGTTGTGGTCGATGATGGCACGACTAGACGACAGTCAACCTGTCGAATCAAGACACTCGGCTAGCGGAGCCCACTGAACCCATCCGCAACTTGGCACCACAAGGCACCAACACAACCGAAAACCGCCGCTCTGCTCTGCCGCTGTTTTTTCGGGGACGGCAGCCAGTTGTGAGCAGCGCGACGGGCCGGTGCAAGCCCTCCTTTGTTCTGCTTTCCGCGAGCTCGTGTCGATGTGCAAGTCGAAGAAGGCAGCATGGAAACCGGCGGGTGTCGTGGCGGTTGGAGGTCCGTCCGCCGAGGAGCGCGGAGGGGGAGGCGATTGTCCGATCTCGGGCGGCCCCACGGGGGCCAGGGTTGGCGATTCTGTTGTTCTGAGGTTGAAGGATATTCAAGTATACAGGTCTGTGCATGTGCCTGTCGTTGTTACTAGCATTGTTGACCACCGGCAATCCCATAACAGCAAATGCTCGTTTGCGTGTACGTGGGGTTGTTAAGTGATGGCCGTCGGCAATTTTTTCTAGCTAATATAGGAGATGCGTGAAGGGTAGTGTTTCATTCGGTTGCAGTTATGCAGCACCCTTGTGTATCGAGAAAACTGAGATCCAGCATTCCGTTGTACTCGCCTCTCGGATTGTTCTTGACACACACTTTGTTCTTGCCAGTACATCAAAGTAGTCCCTCCTTGATCATGATATTTGTTGGAAATGGATTCTGCTGCTGCTGTCGTTGTTGGTTTTGGTGCTGCTGCTGCTGCTGATGCTAACATCGTTGTTGCGCAGGCCGCCGAGACACGCCGACTATCCTACAGGAGAGCGGTTTTACCTGAGGCACACGTCGGTCGAGAAATTTTCTGTCGCGGTTCCAAAGTGAGTTAGCTGCCCTGATGCGACCCTTGTAGGGTTCGGAGAAAGAAGTGCTTTTTTTAAGTGACGCTTGGAAAATTGGCGCCAACGTCTCTCGAACAGCGATCCCGGCTCGCTGTTTTGGCCGTGTCAATTGTATGTGGCTAGTGGGAACACTTACCAAACATCAAGTGTTCCTTGTCACATGATACGAATCGTTTATGTTCCTTGTCACATGATATGAAGAATCGGGTTCTCTAAGAGCTGATAGCTCCCCAGCCCATTGGGAGAGATAAGCGATCGGGCATAGATCAGTCGATTCGCCGGAGACACGTCAATAAGTCCAACGGACTCTTCAAGTAGCTGCGTGTCGAGGTGGGATCTCAATCGTCCTCTCCAGGGAATGCTCCCACACCTTCAGAAATACTGGACACCCCCTAGTCTGCAGGGTGCACCCCGGTATCTAGAAGTCTTCATTCGGTCGTCGGCTAGCATTTAGTGTTGTATCGTGGCGCTCCGCGTGGAGGGTTACGGGCGTGCGTGTCAATCCTTGTTCCCCGATACATGCGTGTGAAGAAGTTTGTGTTGAAGCAATGTCTCTCCCGTTCACTACCTACCTATGCTTAACCTTGCACTGTTGTGCGTATTTTGTATCTCGACTTCTCCATCTACGAGGCAGAGGCGACGGTTTTGTGACGGTGATTGCCATGGGCCCGCCCACTAAATGTGCCACCAATGGCGTTTGCTCTGCTGCTACGCCTTTTGCTCCTTCTGGTGTTGCGACTAACCCGGCCTCCGGAGGCACGTTTTTGCTGGCGGCTGGGACGAGTAAGGTGCGGAGGAATGCGTACTGCCGGTAGCACTCTCTGAGCACTACCCCTCTCGCTAAGGATATGGTGATGTCACGGTTAATCACTCCTGCTAGATTCTCAACACCACTTGCCGAAATACTACCGCACAAAATTCTGTTCAAACGCTTTTGTTATGAAATACTATAAGATCTGAGAAGAGAAACACTTGAAGAGGTGCATAGCAGACCTTGACATATGCCCTCCACCAAAGACTATCTCATGAAACCCACGGGGGAGCTCGCTAACGCTCTTAACAACATCACAAGACCTCGAATCGTTTACATATATACAGTAGTCGCTATCGACCCTGTCTCCGCCACAAAGAGCGCGAGTGAACGTGGGCTCCACGCATAACGGACGGGCAGCTATTTCGGCTTCGTACAAGGGGTATTTTTGGGGGGGAATTTCTAGGGTTGAATCGTGAAATCGTACGTAGAAGTTTCGACCTCATTGAACTATTTGAATCTTCATGTGCGGCCTACCATACCACGTGAGTCCAACTTCGTGAATCTTGATCATTTTCACTCTGATTGCTCCGAACGCCAACCGCAAGAGGAAGATATAGTGCCTCTCCATATATGGGTCTCGAGCCTGCGGCTGGCGTACACGGGCAGTGCTCAGAGCGCCGGCAATAGTCGCAGATGGAGTAAAACTGTTGCGGCGGTGCTGATAATCTCTATATCTTGCCATTATGGGGACGACATTTGCCACATTTTTCACTCTCTTCATAGGGTGGGATAGTGGTGTGGGCGGTGCCGACATTGGAAGAGGAGACCAGCGCGGGCGGGGTCGACAAACGAAGCGGCAAGAACAGCAAAAACAGTACGAATAGCAGTGCGGCCGTTATCATTCGAGTGGCGAGTGCTGCAAGCATGTCCAAGGACGAGAGGTGCCCAGTGGTGAGACGACCGCCAGCCTGAGGGTCGTTTACTGTCTGCAGTATCCGCGTATAACCAATTTTCAAATGGCAGACGAGGTGCCACTCCTGCCCCGCAAGCTAGAAGCACGCCCTTGATGATTTGCTTAGTTGGTGGTGGTGGTATTCTAAGTGACGGCTACAGGTTGATCAAGGGGTTGCATGGACACGAAGCGTCACTTCATCTCACTGCAAGAGTAGCAGCTGTAGCGCCGCGGGCTGCAGGATAAACAAGCCACGTCATATAAATTTGTGTGTAAATATCTTCGAGACACGAGATCAAGGAGATAATCTCAGCCAATGACGCCGAGTATCACCTTCCTCAAATACCACATCACCAAATTATCACTCTCCCGGGTCGCCGGGGCCGCCACTTTCGTTGGGGCAGGAAAAGGTCTACTTCGGAGCAGACGGTCGGTCGCAGCTCGTCTCCCTTGATGCCCAGAGGGTCGTCAAGGTGCGTCCACGTTGGCGTGCATTTGACGCTTGCGACAGATCAGGTCCCTCGTGCGAGCTCCTATGTGCAACTCAATCTTGGTTCGACAATAATCGTAACGCTTGGCTGCCGCGTGAAATGACATCATGTTTTCCTCCGCCGTGACATATATGGACGGGGTTGTGCATGACATTACGCGGGTGAAGGTGTGGGATATCGGCGGCGGGAGGGATGCGGCGGCGGCGGCGGCGAAGGCGGCGCAAGGGCATCAAGGCCGCGGCACGCAAGCACCCGCGCGAGAGTTTCTGCCCGAACTGAGGGGAAGCGGCGGGGCCTCCAGCAAGTTCCAGGCGCTGCCGCTCGTAGCCAGGTATGCGCTCGCAGAAACAGATCGAGAGAGGGTGGCCAGTTGTGCCCGGCGATGCAAAAGGCGACAGTAGTGACAACGCAAGGGATGTTGCGGCCATATGGTGGTATCCAGAAGGGGATATTGCCATGAGCTATAGCGAGCCCGCTGCTCCACCAGGCAGAATCGCCACGCAGAATATCTCTTGACACGCGCACCGGAAAATGCAAACTCGATCATCTACCATTTTGAAGCAGCTCCCACCTGGTTTGCGGGGAGGGTTGATACCAAACGCGTTCCACCTGGAGGGACCCCCCTTTTACCTTCTCGCCAACAGCCTCAAGTCCACACTCCCCTCAGACTTTCTCTCGTTCTCCCTGCCCTCGCCGGTTCTCGGTTGTCCACACTGAAACGACGCCGAATTCATTTGCAAGGTGGGCCATCCGGCATGGTGACTTGGAACGGCCGTTGCTGGATGCCGCCACGGCCTCTTGGCTCGACAGCACCAGCAATACCGGTGCCGCCGCCGACACCAAGAGAAAGAGCGACAGAATCAAGGATAAGAAGAGGGGTCTTGTGAGAGGGGGGGGCCGCGGAGAGGATGCGGGAACCGCAAGCACTAGCACTCTGCCGTCGGTGGGCGGGTCGTCAGAGACAGCAAGTGCTACCACTGCGGGAAAAGCCGATGGCGGGCCATGGTCCTCCTCGATGAAGAGAGACATGCGCGTGAGTGTTCTTGACACACAATCTCGTAACGGTCGTATTCTATGTGGAAATGGAAGCAACTGTCGGAGTACTTTGTTGTTTTATTTATAGCGTTTTGGTCTTATGATTTACCGAACCGAGGCGAGCCCTTCGTTTTTTCCTACCAAGCCAAGTCACCCCCCTTTCCAAGGAAAGCTTCACAACTCTACTGCTGATCCATTCATTCGCGGAGGAATCCCCACTGGAGTACCCTCAAAGGCTCAACTTCGGGCGGAGAGTCTTCAAGTCAGTCATGCTTTCTTGCCGGCTCCAACGACTCCCTGCTCCCAACAAGCGCTGGCTGCAGCGTTTCCGGCGGCCATGCCTCCGTTTCCGGCGATGCATGTTCCCATCACGGTCGACGGCTGCCGCGCTGACCTTGGCGTCTCTCACTCTCCGCACCGTAACGAACGCCACCGTCGCTTCCCCAGAAAGCCACGAGGTAAGTTGGTTGTACAGACGTGCCTTCTCGTTGTGCCAACTGCTGTACTCCACGACAGGCTACGACTGTCGCGTTCCACGCGGCCATGACCGCTTTCGGAGAGCAGCTCTCTGTAGTCGTCGCCACGGCGGGGGGCAGTCTGGTCAAGTGCAATGCGGACGCGTGGCCGGTGGCGAAGGCGGCGGGCGGCGAGCGGGGGGATGGCGGAAGGGACGGAGACGGTGAGACGACGGGTGGTGTTGGCTTTGCAGGGGGCGAGGGTGGCGCAGGCATTCACTTCGAAGGGGGGGGGGAGGGGGCATACTCTAATGCTTTGCACACCTTGAGAGGGTGGAGCATTGTTCCCACAGGACCAATCACCGATGGCCAATCGTTCCTTCCTACGTTGCCAAAGATGGCTCAAACACGCTTTCCCGAGTCTATCGATAGTAGGGCTTTCCGAGGTTTGGGGTAAATTTCGCAACCCGTGATTGGTGGAAAAGGGAAAAAGAGAGGGTACCAGGGTGCGAGTGGACAAGATAACAGAAGAAGGGGTTCCTTTCTACGCGGTTCAAGATTCGCTGAATGAAAATATCAAGCAAGATTTACAGTGGTGGTTGAATGGCCTGAATCTGCTTGCGGGGGGATTGATTCGCGTAGCACGATCGACTTTAGTCCCTGCGCTGTTGATCGCGCTTCTTGTGTCACTTCCACCGACGTTAATATTCGGTGTCTTGTTTCTCCGTGTACGATGTCGATGTCAAGTGGCGTATGGCAGGTGCTTGGTGCCCAACGAGCCCGGCAACCGTGGCGCCCCTCACGAGGCTACGGTGCTCAGGAGCACCGCGAGCGCACACGGGGAGGGCAGCGAAGGCATCCTTGGCGGCTGCAACTCCGTGCGGCGAGAGTTTTTTGAGAGGCATCGGTGAGAGGGAGAAGCTCCAGGCCCCCGCTGGAATCCCGTGGTGTTCGACAATCCCAGGGCGGCCAACGGAATAGTGCTGCCGCCTGTTGAAACCCTGTCGTTCAACCCATCCCAAAATCTCAACGGTACGCCACTTTCAATCGCACCTGCTGCGGGTCGAGAATAGTTTGCAGCAAGAAGAAACGAAGCTTGTGTACCGCACATATCTGCTCGGCGCTCGAGCTCGCGTCGCGTCAATAGATCGTGGTTCATTGCACGCCCCGTGATGAGCCACAGCTTAGGCGCGCCTTCCCCAACCGTGAATCCAGTCTACGAGGGCTGAACCTGAAATGACCCTCCATTGGATCCCACATGGCTTGGAACACTGTCGTGTTCATGCCCGAAGTTACTTCGTCTGCCTCGAGTGGAGACGCGGTAGTAGCCTCTGGCCATCACCCATTGTCCTCGTGGTGTGATCTTGTGAAGACATCACGTGATCGACACTTGCGAACGTCATACGCCCCGCCCCCCGCCTCTTGCATGTGCACCACTCTGTCAACTTCGATCGCGAAGGCACTCGGTAATATTCGTCGGCTTCAAGGACCACGTTTCCTTGACGATGGTCACTCTCGACGTGTCGGGGCTTCTGTGTGTGTGGCCCTACAGCGCCGACGCCTTTTCGGGGTTCGGGTGGTACACGCCATCCAAGGTGATGAATCACCGCTAGAGAGGGGTAACTTCCATCTCTTCTAGTACCTTGTTCTGAGTTAGCTTGCTGTGGATGTGGAACTACGACTCTTTGCCTTGCAAGGGTAAATGTCACAACGGCTTTTATCACGACGACAGCGAGAACAACAACTAACACCGTGCTAAGCAAGAGGTTGCGTCTGCATTTCGTAAAAAAAGCAGCGTCGCACAGACGGCTTCATGAGGGATATGCCTTCCATGGTCATGGCTCGTCCGTGACACGTCGTAACAGAGTGGGGTCCCCTGCTCTGTAGCAGCGCTTTTCCAAGGCAATATTCAGAACCGTACCTCACCCAAGCACCGACATCATTTTGTCAGTTGGCGTTGCGACGATGAAGTTTATGTGCAGTATCCTGTACAAAACCTTACTATTGGGCCTGTAACCTTGCTACCGGATAAATATTAACTAGCTCGTTGGTATGTACATCATTGGCTCCCAATGACCAACTACAGGAGGTAGTGGTAGACGTGACGCTTCACTCCTACAAGCTAAAAACCAACAGAGCAGCCAGGAGGGGCGAGCGCGGCACCGGCAGTGGAGGCGGCGGGGGCGGCGGTGGGCCCGGGTTTATTTTCAATAGAGCACTTCCTCCGGTACGAACGCTAGTTTTGGAACTACACTGCAGTCTTCGCGGTGCTCTTTTGGAGGGGTAGCTGAACGAAAAGTACGCTATTATGAAAGTACTGTACAGCGTCGAGGTGTTGTTAGCAGGGACAGCTGGCTGAAGCGCCAAGGGAAACACAGCGATACATGGAAGGAAATACGGCCACATCTGCTTTGCAGTAAGCGCTGGGCTAGCACGAAGAGCCGAATGAAGCGTTGGAGAAAGCACGACCATTCAACACTAACTGGGAGCGATCTCTTCGCCAGTAGCATGAACAACTCATGAGGGGAATAATGAACGCCTCGCGAAATGTGTTCGCGTTGCCGCTTTTGCTCTAGTGGCTGCTGCAGTCCTCAGGTCCTTTTCTCTTATCGTATGCATAGAATTGTATTGCTTATTGACAACAACACCCTGGCAAAACGTTCCCCGTCGTTCTCACCTACGTGTCCTGTTCATCAAACATCGCCTGTAGGTCTTTCTGTATTCAAGCGTCATCTTTCGGCGTAAATACATAGGGTCCCCCTCGTCTTCTAGCTGATTTTCTCTGACCAACGTATTCGCTTCGCGAATTTATCTCCACGCCACGCTGTAAGTGTGCCGCCGGAGCAAAGACAGGCTTTCTGACGATTGGTCCGGGAGATCTATCTGACAACGTAGCCTCTCCCAATGTAACCCCCTCGCTGGTTTGGGTGTCGTATGAAATATTCGAAACTTTTTCGTCCCAAAACCCAAACCCATATGACGCCAACGAAGGACTACTCGGAGACTGCAAACCCCCGTGAGGCGTTGGCCGAGCTAAGAACTGGCGGGAGCTATAGACTTTCGTCGACCGAACGTACCGCAGACCGCGGCCGTGCGGAGACTTACATCGGTCCGCCAGACAGTGACTGTGACAGGTACGAATTGTTGTCAATTTGCTGAATACGTGAGGAGGCATTGGTCTGTCTATGCTCGATACGGATTTAGTGAAGGTATCCAGTAGGTTGCAGCCAACAGAAGCAGCAGAAGCAGCAATATCAACAACAACAACAACAACAACAACAACGGCAACACCACCACCAGCACTAACAACAACAAGCATTCAACAACCTACCAACGACCAATAACAGCCTCTGGTGCTTCGCCACCCCCAGTAGGGCTCACTCGTTCGATGAGGCACTCCGTGTTCTCTCGCGGTGTGCCGTTTGCACACGAATGCACGCCTATCAGGGAGAATTTCGGATAACCTTGGCATTCTGCTGGTGGTGCGTCTGGTAGGAATGACTATCGTCTCTGTGCCACGCTCTCGCCGACTTGTCCCCGTCCGGGGTTCACAGCTGCGAGGGTCAGTATTCTCAAAGACTATTCGATATTGTCCCCTCGTTCTCACTTTGTCCGCCTGTAGTTTCTCCAGCATTATCATATCCTATTAAGAGCTCGTGATTCGCAACCTTCCTGGGCGAAGCGCGAACAGCCTCCCCGTTTTAACCGTGCGCACCATGCACTGGTACCCTCGTTCAATTTGCTACAGCCGAGGTGGCGCCGCGGTTTTTCGGGCGATCGTGGCAAGGTATGACGAGGAAGGGGAGATCAAGTCGGCGACTAGGTTGAGGGCTCTGGAATACGCTCGCGAGGGGATGATCACGGACGCTAAGCTCACAGTGTCCGGAGGTAGGCTTACAAAAGAACCGTAGAGCACCGATTACTCCAGAAAATATGATCGATCCTGTAGTAACCCTCTTGGGGCTCCAGAGGAAAAAGTGTGCCCTCGGGTGAGATGTAGATGAACATGCGCACGTTTCCCTTACGTTTGGCGCAGTCGCTTGCCGGCGGGCAAAGCCGGGCGGCAATGTGTGAAGTGTTGCGACAACTATCAAAATCAATGTTACATGCGGTCATTGCACTGCCGTAGTCGATGTGCACCCACGGTCGACCCAACAGCACGGCCACACAAATAAGTAGAAGCATGTTGTAGAACTAGGGACATGACTGACAAAGATAGCGCGAAACGAAAGGATTGATGACGTCAATCCGTCGATGGTGCGAAGGGCTCCAGCAGTGATGCTCGTGGCGGCAGCGACCAATCACTGACACATACGTGCTGGTCTTCGAGTGAAATTCCCTTGAGGAGATTACCCGGCCCTAGAGAGCAGAGACTAGACGGCAGAGATGGCCGGCATGACTTTTCGCGCTGTCTTCCAATAGGCGCGCTTGACGTCGACGCGCTTTTCGCCGACTTGGCAGCCGTAAAAACGGTATCTCTGCCTCCGCTGTGATCACCGAGCACCATCAAACTGTTGCCGCCCGCCACGCGCGTCGTACCACCCGGTGTCACCTTTCCGACCCGGCTTCGCGAACTGTGTTGGCGGACTAGGGGAGCTCGCTGCCGTCGCGTCCTACCGACCCCTGGCCTCAGGCGGTAGAGGCGACGGGACATCGGGGGGTGAGGAGGTGCCGCAGTTTACCGTGATGGTCTTCCTCGTGAACCTTGAGGTGAGGCGGTTCGCCGACGACGAAGTGACGAACGTCGCACTTCAGCAACATTCTTGTGCGGCACGCACGTTCAACACCCGCGTGGGCAATGAGAAGTCGCTCAATCGTTTCGAATTATCTACATCGGAGATCGTGTGGAAATATCGAAATGTCCGAACAGAGGACCAGCTTGAAGCATGGGACGTTTTGCGCGAGAGCTGAGCCAATACGTGTTCCGATTCACACTGGGTATGTTCATCAAACGTAAATGGCTCATCCCATGATCCCCTTTGCTTTCCCCCCGGTTATCTAGGTAGTGTTGTTCCACTAACAATTTCGGCCGAAATGTTGCATGGACTCTGTTTTGCTCCGATGGAGTTTGCAAAAATTGCAAAAAACATATTCTTCGCCTCCCATGAAATTCCCCCCGGGAGTAGTAGTTATGTCCTGGGGAGAGTTCTCCTCGAGGCCATATATTTTATCCTATTTCTTCCCGCTGATTGTTTTGACTTCGGCATCATCACGAATCGAAAACACTTGTTTATGGGGGACGACGACGCCGTTCTGTTCGGTACTTGTGCGAGGAGTGTGCTGCGTGCAGCGGTTGCATATTGTTGCAAATCTGCGGTCGGTGTTTGGATGCTTGCTGACAATGTTTCACATGCTGTTGCAGTTCATCCTGGAACGCTGAACAGCATGGCGTCGTATTTTGCAAAGGTGCGCAGAATCGAAACTAAAATCCAGCCAAGCCTTTTCTGTCAGTGCAGGAAAGACGATGAGGGTTGATCAGTCAGAATGAAACCAATGAATGGACACATGAAATGAAATGAAATATGGAACAGGAGATGAGGATGCGCAAAATACCCACCAAGCACGCGGTAGTCGCCGATCAACGCCACCACATCGTGTCGTACGTTCCAGCGACAGCTGTAGAGAGTGTTGTACGCTTGTATAAAACAACTGCTTCAGGCATCTTCCCAGAGGGAGGTTCGCCCCCTGGGTAGTACTTGACAGTACAAGTAAACGCCCCGTCTCCATTTGATTCAAATGAGCCTCGGGGGGACTCAGTCCCGGAACAGTACAAGATCCCCCGGACCGGAGGAAAGCAGTGGGGGGTTTGGTCATTCTATCCCACGGCAGCAGGGAGTACAGCAGGCTTCTGCACAACACAACGGTGCTGCCTATGGCACTCCGAATCAACGGCAACGCGGCGTGTAACCAAGGCAACACAGATGACAACAGAGCAACCTCCCCCATGGCCATCGTGCCCTCACTGCACCTCTCCCCCGTCCTCTCCGTTTCGACATCTCCTGACCAGTCGATGCAACTGCTACCGCAGCATGTGAGACACGACTGGCCTATGACAAGAGGTAGCACCGGCGGTTTTCCGTCCCCGGCGTTTGCGGTGTCCCCGGTACTGGACGCGACCGGATCAGACTATGTGTACCTGGCTATCGAAGACTCGGTACGTCCACAGGCTTGATGCAATCTTTTACAGCCTTGCCCGTTTAGGTGGAAGCTTCAACGAAATTTCGTGGCACTCGGTCGTGGCAGTTTCAACTGCTTTCTTGACTTTCTCACACCAAAAAGACGAACAACAGAGGACACTTTAGCCTCTCGTTCCCTCGAGTAGCCTATACAGTATACATGGAAACAAGACACGAATACCAATTTTGTTCGGTACTTTTCCTTGCTCACGAAGGTACGAAATCTCGAACGTCATTAGAGATCTACAAGAGTGAATTGTGCCTGAACAGGTACGGATATTTTCGCTCGAGACGGGCTTCGAGGTGGCATTGCAAGAAGGGAGGCGGCTGTCGACGAAAATCGGCGGCAGTCTTGGCGACGGCGGCACCAGAGGCGGCAACGGTACCGCCGCTGCTACCGCATCTGTTGGCCCCACGGTGCCCATCGTGGCGGCGGAGGTAGCCTCGAATAACGGAACACTCGCTGTTGCGTGTGCTGACTCAGGTATGAAGGGCGCGGGATTGATTGTATCCGCTTGAGCAGGCAAGGGGCGAGGGTCCTAGCTTTCTGCCGCAAAACCTTGTGTGGGTTCGCCGTGGCACCATTGACCGAGATGGTGCAGTCCTCCCCGCGTGTAGTAGAGCCCCATCTTCAACGAAAAATACCCCTCCAACACGATTTGATGCATCGTGCCGATGTGGTGAGACGTCTGTCGAACCACGCCTTACACCCATGGCGGGAGAGGAGGGGAGAGAGAACCCGGAAAATGTGGACTGACGTTAAGTGTGCCCAAGGGGGGACGCTTTGTTTTCGGAAAGTGTGCTCGATCTAAACCCGAAGAAACGCAACCGCTCCCAACGCACAAGCTTTTGCGCGTACTACGATTGTGTGCGCGCGTACCACGACCGTGCTGGACGCTGGCGTTCGTAAGAGCAGGTGCCATCACCTTGTTCCGGTTTCGTGATAACTCCTTGAAAGTTGCAAGGGAGGAAATGCAGAGGACCGCCCCTCACAGCAGGAGCAGAGGCAGGAGCAGCGACAGCGACAGGGGCAGCGATAGTGGCAGCGGGAGGGGCAGTGGCAGCCCGACAATGTCATGGCGACGGTTTCTCCGTACCGTTGAGTGCGATCGCCGAAATGCTACACCGTGGGAAATGAGGGTAAGCTGGAGGTAGTTTGGGGGTCGATTGTAGTCATGCCCCCGTGGCTGGTTGGTGGCCTAAGACAACATAATGTTCCCTAAAAGATGACTGCCATGAGAGCAACAACAAGTAACACAATGGTTACGACAAGAGCAGCGAACAACAATTATGGGCTTTCTGTCTCCCGTTTCACATTGCCGAGTGATGCCCGTGCCCGGCGATACCTTCGCTACGCCTAGTGACCGTGAGAGATAATTGCAGCCGAAAATTACGTAAGAGAACGAAAACAGGTGCATCGCCCCTGTTGGATTCTCAACGCCGTGAGAAACAGATTTCGACATGCATGGAGGAGGCCGAAACAATGTATGTTCTGAAACGCATTCGGAGGTGTTCGGGTGTTTGGCCTCCTTCTTGGCGACAGGTAGGTGCCTCTCATCCCGCCCCCCGGTAAGAAGTTGCGACCGTCCGTTGTGTATGGTTCCGAACACCAGGTCCACCTAAGCACACCCTTTGAGATGGGCAGCGACGAGGGTTACAGCCACCGGGACCAAATTCGGCGTGTGATCGTGAGCGACATAGTAGAGGCCGCCATCGCTCTCTCCGAACAAAACCAGACATCGAAGAAGCTACGGATAGAGCCGATCGAGGGGACGGGCGGCCAATCATCAGCACCGGTTGGATTGGGTGCGGGTGGGCGTGTTAGCCTTCGAGATCTCTTGGGAAAACCTCCGTACGGAACGGTCTAAAAGCATGATGTGCACGGTGATTGCGCGATCATACGCTTCCAGTTGCTGTTGGTCAATCGGAGTGCAGGGTTATGGGAAGAATTTGGCGTGGCGCCGAGTCTGTAGACTGCCGGTGGTACCGTGTTTCGGGAAGTACAGATGATGATTTCACCCTATTAATAGTGCAGCCTTTTTGCCTCAAGGCAGCAGATACATTGAGACGTGCGCCAGGCCGAAAGCTGCACCATGTGGAACAAAGAGGTTACAACCCTTGGGTGTCGTGAGTTCCGGCAAGTATCTTGGCGCCACTGCTTTCGGACAGGCATGAACTCGGCCGTTTGTTCGACTACAACGTCGATCCCAGATATTGAAGAGTAGTCCAATGGGTATTTTTTAAGTGGGGGTCACCTCGAAGGTGGAACCTCCCCAAGCGGTCTTGGGGTCCTTACACACCACCCCGAGGGCATGTCTGTGACGGATGCTCGCAGACTTTTGATTTTGCGGGTCCGCTCTTGAAAATGTCCTGGCTCGCGAGCAAACGCAGGAACCGTTCCACGCCCCTTCACTTCCTCGGTAAATCGCATAAGCTGTCGCCATGCCTTACTGAGACAGCGACACACGGAGTACGAGTCGATGACGACTCAGCCTTGCACACGTCAATCTAGATAAGTTGCGCTTGGCGCTTTTCCCCTTGGGAACGCCAGCCAGGGATGTACCTCTCCGACTGGAACGGAAAGTACCACCGACGCCATGCAAGAGAGGAACTGCGTTCTCAGTGGGCAAAGGACGTGCGTGCCTGGTAGTCGGGGTCAATGCGTCCCGCGTTTGCTTGCAGTCGATGCTGCGGAACATTCGCCTCTCGCAATATTGGGCGTTCCTTTAGGCGGAGGTGTCTGGGTTTTGACCTCGCGGTTACAAAACAAGCGGTCGAAGTAGGCCTCGCTCTACCACCGCGAAGAAGCCCCCTTGAGAAAGCACAGCCCGCGCTATCGGTGTGGTTAGAGTCGGGTTCGACGAATGCTTCGAGGGCACTCTCTGGGCTATAACACGCGTAATCGCGGTTCCTCGGGAATGAGCGCCCCGAAGGCCCAGAAGCCCTATTTCACTACACGTCCATCCGGCTTCAAAGCAAGCGATATCGTCGCCGGGTCCACTCGGAGCTCGGCCCTTACACGACCATCCTCGCCAATGTAGGATCGGCGTGATCTTTCCACCACCGCTGACGCCTCGTCAAATCCCCGCAACCATGACGACGTCGATCGTATAGACGTCCGTTCCTTTACCGGCACAGACCGTTGGCTCGCAAAAAATATGTTCCGGCTCTCTCATGCGCAGCGTCCGCACGTTGGTGCGGCACCTGCAGACCGCTCTCGATGACCTCACGCAGTGGGTCAAGAGGAGGTGAGCGACCTGTGTATTAAGGCGAGGTTGCTGCCTGTAGTTTCGCCGGAAGATCGGGGTTACATTCGTCTAGCATCACTGGTAGATGCGAGGTTGTGATGTCGTGGCTGTCGGTGCAAGATGGTCCGACATAATTGATGGCCTTCATGGCACGAGACGTCATCATGGCTTTGGAGGTGTTTGGGGGTGTTTCGCTCCCTCTGGCAACGGTGTTTTTTTCGAGCACACATCGTGTAGCTAACCCCGTCAGCTACAAGCACAGTCCGTGTGGGCCATCCTCTCTCATTGAAGGTCATCGTGTGGATGAGACAGACACGTCGGAATGCCGAGGTCGTGTGTCTTGGATCCCCTTGGATCCATCAACGACAAAAGTACGCAGGTCACCAAACGGCCGAGCAGAGCGCTAGGGTTTCCCGCATCTCGGTAAAATGTAGAGGAGGGTAGAAAAGCCAATCGGAAAAATAATCCGGACAGAGGAAAGGTAGTAGCTCGGCAAAATTGAAGCATCGACCTTGACTGAGGTCACCCGCCGGCCAAGGACAGATGTTAGCGCCGAAGTTTACAAAAAAATTAGGATAATTGCGGGCACGTGGTGCACTTCAGTAGCTCTCCCATGGGGGCTCAAACGCGTTCCAAAGAAACAAAACAAGTAAAACCTATAGTTACAACGAGTCATCGGAGACCCTCGGAAAGAAGTTCAACTACTACTGTATCTACAAGCCTAAAAAAATAAAGGCTCGGTATTTCATAACAATACAACGACCTGAGGGTGCAAAGGCCGACTATTATAGGGGGCTGGTGAGAAAAAAAATGGAAAGCGACAACGGGACGCCCATGCAAAAGTCTGGCCGCGTGTGTAACTGGGGTCTAAGGTGCACCCCTTGTCTACAGAAAGAACAAAATCGAACAAAAATTGCGGCCGACCGATTCGGAACACGAGCGAAAGGGTCGACAAGACAATTTGGAAGTCGGTTTCGCACATCACAATGTGCCATAGGCCTCGGGATCACGCCCGTTTCCCGTCAGCTGCGAGGTCGCATCACCGCCACTGTCATCGTCCGCACACCCGTTATGGCCATCGGCTTCCGGGGGCATTTCCCAGTACTCGGGGTCTTCCGCCGCGGCAAGCCCTTGGCTGCCCTCATCAGATCCCAGCGACGACCCCCCTTCCTCGGGGTCGTGCAGTATCCACAGCATCACGAACAGGATCATCCACTCCGAGACGTGCTTCACGACCACGTACCAGTCCCAGACCCAGCTGCTGAACACCATGTTGAAAGAGTGGGTTTCTGCGGAGAAGCGGCGGCGGCACGGCGAGAACGGTGAATCCGGATTTGGGGCCGGGGGGGAAGAGGTTTGCACACACATCAAAATCCGTGGCATAAACTCGGAGAATATTCTGAATTGCTTCCTCAAGGTTCGGACAAAAACATGGCTCACCACGTGCCTCGTGAAAAAAACACCTGAAGGCGAAACAAAAGATTCACTTAGCGGGAAACGTCCTAGATTTGGACAAGTTACCCGCTCCATGTAAAGAAAGACCTCGCCAAACGCAACACCGCCAGTCGTGTAACCGTTACCAATGCGGTCGAAACATAAGGAGTGCCACCCGACAAACTTAGGACACTCTCTGCTTCTCAAAAGCGTAACGAAGCAATGTCAGTGCGACACAAGTTTGATGGGTTTGGCCCAGGGGGGGCAGCACGTCAATTCCTGTGTTAAATAGTCGATACGCAGATCACCTTGGGATCTCAACATATGTATCGTGTGGAGGCTTTTCTCTACATTGGTCAATTTACCATTGCGCTGAAAGTGTTCACGCGTTTGACTGGCAAGCTCTCTCATCATGAATCCATTTGCACCCCGTCCCAAAAACTCACGCTTGAAATGCATGTAGAGCGTCAGGCCCACCGCTAGCTCGCAAACGGCTCGAATCGCGAAGAACACGTTACCGGTTACGGTTATTCTCACGATGCGCGTCACCTGTGGCGTGGATGGCCGACGGCAACAAGATCACGCAGTAGCAATTGAGGAAGCGGTGGCACGGGAGCCGCACGACAGAAGAACGGCAGTGAATACGGCGTCACGAACTGTTACATGCAAGCACGACCGACATTTCGGGCTCGATGACAAGGGTGTGGCACGTTTTCTTTTGTGCGTGTCACTGCCCCTGCAGCTGATTACTACCGGAAAAGGGTTGAGGGAAGAGTAAGGAAGCACCACCCCACGGTCCAATACATTGCAGCAACAGGTTGAGCGCGAGGGAAGCATGCATCATTCTCTTGACGGCACTTTGATCTCTTCTCATTGACCTTCAGTGCCCTTTTTGTCGGGCTGTTTTTACCTTTCCTCCTCTTCTCTCCTCCTCCCTCTCTGCCTTCATACTTCCTCCGCCCTTGCACCCAATGTTATCTCCCTTCCCCCTTCACGCCCGTCTTCGTCCATTCTCTACTCACTTGGCCATCCGTCGATATCTGGTTGACGGCGCCGAGCGTTCTCAGGACCGTTCGAAAGCGGTGCGAGAACCGGGATATCTCCACGCTGCACACCAACGACAACATGCACAGCAGAGCACTACAGGTAACGAACGCGGTACGGCGCAACGGCGGCGACAACGCAAAAGGAGCGGCAGGGACGAAAATACAGAGTTGGAACCACACGCATGCACACATGAACGAAGAGACTAACTCTAACCCTACCACTAACCCCGGAGCGAAAATAAGCTTATTAATCTCTGTCCACAGAAAGGAGCTCCAAGGATATCCCAGCAATGAAGTCTGACCGAAACAAACATGCCGATGCCAAGAGGTGGTCTTCAGGGTAACCGAAGCCAGGACGAACATCATAGACAACACACACGATAGGACCATGAAAACACGTATCACACATGTGTCGCCGTGTACTCGGAGGAAACAGAACAACGCGGAGAAATCGCATGCCATACACCCGACAACGACACCCACACACCTCTCAAACATGAGCATTCCCTGGCTGCTGTAAACCCTCGTGAAGAACAGGCACGAGTTAACGCCTTCCGCTGCGGCGAGTGCCGCCGCTACCGTCATGAAGGACGCCATCGGCCGAGAAGGTCGACCGCTCTCCTTAAAGATCTGGGCAACACGCAAGATATGCAGACAGAACGCGTCACAACGGCAGCGAAAATTTAACTCCGGTCACTTCAAGGCTCGGAGGAATCGATACGGAAGAATCGTCACGAGACAAACAGCGCGTCCCGTGCGAAAAAATGTAAACAGGTGGTTAATTGTGAATCATACAAACACGCGACGAGCGTAACCACTGGCAGAGCATGGTGAGAACCGAAACCGTTCGAGGAGAAGCAAATTTCCACGTCCCGTCCATTCACCAACGTCGGCCGCGGGGCTGTACGTACGGAGAGAACAGCAGGGAGGCAGTTTCATGTGAAACTCTGCCACAACAAATACACAAGCGCTGCTGAGCAGGCAATACCTCGTGCACACGTAGGCTGAGTCTCAGATATAACCTTCCCACTGAACTCCTATTGGTGCGATATCGCCTACCCGATATCTTGCACGTGAGACATGTCTTCTTGTTCGGCTGCGCTCACCCCTTTGAGCAGGTCGGCCCAGAATATAGCCATAAGGATGAAGATGCTGAACAGACTCAAGCTGCCAACGAACAGCATAACCTCCGACACGTACGTCCCCAGCCAGTCGCCCTTGAAGGCGTACTCCGTCGACGGGGCGTAAGTCGGCTGCAGGACCTACGGGAGACGCGCGACACCAGTGATGGCAGTGGTGGATGAAAACAAGTGCATTGGGTGGCGGTGTCTGCACAACACTTTTACCACTGCTGTTTCGAGTTTTTTCCTCGGATTTGATTTTGTTCGCTGACGTCTCTTCACTGGTTGCCCCTCTCCACGGCGTCTGCTAGTACGAGAGGTGCGTGCGTGCGGCATGCGTTCTAAACAAAGGCATCGCTAAGGACACGAAAGTCACGACAAAGAACAGGCACGACAACACGTTGCCGCCATCCATAGGCTAGTTGGGCGTGCATCGAAGTACCCACAGAATGCACGAAACAACAGTTGCTAAAACGGGGTGCAAACCACGTCCCGCGAGGTTAGCGTCCGCGGAAAAGGTGTTGAGCCGTACGGGTTTTGGATCAGCATCAACGGAAAAAGACATGATGACTAAACGTAGCGGAAGACGGAGAAAAGTGGTACGAAAAGGGATCCCAACGATCGCGTTTTCAGAACCTCACACAGCTTTGTCCCACCATGGCTGGCCTCCTGGGATTCTGGAGAGCACGTCACGCCGCGCAATGGCGATATACCCTCTTTCATTTCATCAACAGTATAAACGGCGGTGGCGCGATGGGTGTCCGCCGGTAGATATCGTACAGTATGGGTGGAAAAAAGCGCGCATACCTCTGTTGGGATCAAGAACCAGGTGGCTCGCACGACCGATGTGAAGAGGATGAGGGAGTAGAAGGTCGTGATCACGGTCTCGGAGCCTCGCTGCCCGGCGCTGGTGAGGAGCCGCTTCAGCGACGCCGCGGCGAGGAGCAAGAAGCCCAGCCCTAGGATCACATCCTGCGCGTTGTGTTGGTGTACGTGGCACCGCCATTCAGATATAGCGCCCGCACGTATGCGCTCGGCAGTTCAGAACTTCATGCATGCTGAAGATCATATCAAACATGATACTGGTACATGGTAACTTGAGCACCGTTCGCGGACCCGGTTAAGAATCCCTACACAGTTGAGACTGTGTGGCGTGGGTATTTGTAGCCCACAAGAGGACCGAACAACCCCAGCGTACGCTGGATGCATCAACCGGGGTAATGCAGGAGGTAAGGAAACACTGGAGTTATAACAGGGGTATGTAACACAGCATTAACATAAACAATTGGTAGTTTACAGCGTATCCATCCTTTCAACATGCACGGGAAAACAAAGGTCTGCTGTGCGGATTGCATTGTACAGATCAGATCGATCTTCTTCTAAAATGTTGTGAAGCAAGAGCCCCACATTCGCGATCCGAGACGTCTCACCAAAAACACAAACAAGAACGATCGATGGAATCACGAAAATACCCAAATGCACATGAACTGCTGAACAACAGTAGACTGGTGCTCGTAGCCTATCACTCGTTGCTATGCTAATTCAACAAGTAGTACTGCTGTAGGTCTACTGCTGTACACTCCTTCACGTGCACGTGGGGCCTTACAGCCGATATGACTTGACACGCCGCACGTTGGCGAGACAGCAGCGCTGGACATGTTGAGAATTTTTTAGGATTGGGTACTGACTGCCAGTGCACATGCACTGGCAGTGCATGTGCACTGGCTGCGTCAGCAGCCAGTACTCCAGTACATTCTAATATTCGCAGATTTCCTCAATATAGGCCTCAAGAACCAGCGGAAACCCATCTATTCACGCCGCCTCTGAGAGCGACACAGCCACACAGCAGTCCAAACACCAAACACGCCACAGGTCGGGAGACCATACAACGATGGACAGGTTTGTAGTCTCCCCTGCCAGCTTGCCGTCTGCTGCAGACCCCGGCGNTAGGCCTCAAGAACCAGCGGAAACCCATCTATTCACGCCGCCTCTGAGAGCGACACAGCCACACAGCAGTCCAAACACCAAACACGCCACAGGTCGGGAGACCATACAACGATGGACAGGTTTGTAGTCTCCCCTGCCAGCTTGCCGTCTGCTGCAGACCCCGGCGGTGGTGCTGATGATGCAGGGGCTGCTGCGTCAGCAGCAGCAGCTACGTCAGCCGCACAGCAGCAGCAGCAGCCGGGTGCGCCGGCACCGCCCGGAGCAAGCGACGAGGTGCAAGCGGTGGACACGGCGGTGGACCCTTCACGCGTGAGTGTGAAGGAGGCTGAGCGCCTCTTGAAGTTGACGAGGGTGCAGACCGAGGCGCGGAAGTCAAAACCATCTGGGGCCTCTGTGTACGCCTGGCGATACTTTGAGGTCTACGTCAAAGGGAAGTTCGAGGCGTTTGCCGTCTCCAAGCTGTGCATGGAGCAGAAGGAGTTCGACCGGGCAGAGATCAAGTACAGCCAGTCGCCATCAAACCTGCTGAGCCACCTCCACACCGATCTTGCTGGCCATCAAGCAGCCTTCGAAGACTGCAAGGGTCCATTTAGTATAGTACGTACTATTAGTACTTTCCAGTATTTTAGTAAGTATTTGGCTCACGGTACTGTACTGGGGGTTTAGTGCGTACCTCCATCTTGTACTGTACTTACTATTGCGTTTAGTACAGCTCTTCATACGTACTATACGTACTATTGCGTTTAGTACAGCTCTTAATACTGTACTATACGTACTATTGCGTTTAGTACAGGTCTCAATACTGTACTTTAGTACTATTGCGTTTAGTACAGGTCTCAATACTGTACTATAGTACTATTGCGTTTAGTACAGGTCTCAATACTATACTGTACTAAACGAATAATACGCGTACACAACAGTACAGTACTGGTTCTCCCCGACTTCCACCAAAGGGCGTGTTGGTGACGTCATCCTTAGGAAAGCCGCACAGTCTCGCCAGACAGGTCTCCTGTCTCCTCCCGCCGCGAGCTGCCAGAGCTCCAGTACCAAGTACTGGCGTACTGGTGTGCTGGGGGTACGAAGGTAGTGGCTAGCAGGGGAGGTGGCAGCCATGAGTGACGCAAGTGGTGGTTCGAACGTATCTCCCGATGCACCTGCTCCCGCGCCGGGTTCCTCACCCGCACCGGGTTCTTCACAACAAGAGGCGCAAGAAGACGTGGTGGTGGTGGCGGGCTCTACGAGTGGAGGAGGTTCGCAGCAGTCCGTGATCCCCCGGAAGCCTGCACCGATCTTCGACGTGCACGGAGCGGAATACACCGTGCCGGAGGTTACGAAGAGCGCCATCGAGTCGTTCACAGCGCCCCCCGGTTTCCACCAGGA